AAAAAAAAGAGGTGCCAATTGTTCCTAAAGAATATGCAACAAAGGGAGTGGATAATTTAGAGATAGGCATCTTTTAACTTCATACTTATGCGAGGAGCAGGCATCAGTAGGAGAAAGCTTTGTATAGTCACCACTTTATGGAGGGTGGGTATGGAGGAATGTCCTTCCTGGAATATGTGCATTTGGTGCGTTCCATATCTTGGACTATGGATAAGTTCTTCTCACTAGGACCGGCATGCTGAATCCTGTGGTCACAAACACTAGGAGCAGGTCACAGTCATGTACACTTTCTTCCATGTCCTCTGTTTCCCACATGAGGTATGTGATATTAGCTGGTATTCAGGGTTTCACAGGCCCCATGTGCCCCATGGACTGAACATTCTCCACCCTCTATTTAGTCCAAGCTCTAGCCTGCTATACAGCAGAGTTCTGTTTGGTAAAATAACATTGTGCATTCTGCGAGCTAACATTTGAGAATGATAACATCAGCAAATTATGTGCTGCAGCAATGTACTGCTAATTATATGATGTGTAAGAAAAAAATAGATGACCACAGTGTATTTTGTAATAACTTAAATGTGCTGTATAAGTCAGGGACTACCTGTGCATGAGAGGTACCCTCCAAAATCTGGAATTGCACTGGGCGGAGGTGAGCTATGGTAGTACTCATTTTTCCCACTAGACTAGAATCGAGCAACTTGCTCTGAGTTAGTGCACCCAGTGGCGTCACCTGGGAAGATTCTCTCTGGTAACAGTGAGTAAAAGCAGTTTCGCTTGAACCTCGTTTTTTGCGATGGCAGATTTAAGAGGACAGCGTGGGGCTGTGAAATTTTGTTTCCTGCTTGGGAAAAGTGCTGCAGAAACTGTTCTGATGTTTGAACACAGCTTACAAGGACAGTGCTATAGGAAAAACTGTATATGAGTGATTTTCTAGTTTCAAAAAAGATGAAACGTTGATCGATGACAAACCTCCTTCGGGATGTCTATAAACTTCCCAAATGGACAAAAATGTTGACTCATAGTGCATTTGGACTTCATTCCACCAGGTAACACTGTTAATCAAGCTTTATATTTAGAGGTTCTGAAAAGATTGCATAACACTTGTGACACAAAAAGGCCTGATTTATAGAAGACTGGGAACTGGTTTTACCACCACAACAATGTACCTGCTCACATAGCCATCTCAGTGTGCCAGTTTTTTGTAAAAAGCAGTATGACTTTCTTGCCCCATGCACCTTGCTCACCTGACCTCGCTCCTTGAGACTTCTTTTTGTTTCCAAGAATGAAGAGGGACATGAAAGGACAGCGATGTCATAATGTAGAAGAGGTAAAGAAAAAAAATGAGGGGGGTGCCATCCAAACAGACGAGTTTGAAAAATGTTTCCAACAATGGAATCGCAGATTTGACAAATGTATTCAGTGCAATGGAGAGTACTTTGAAAGTGATAAAGGGGAAAAATAGGAAATTAAAATCAACAATGAGGAGGACATAGAGATCCTGGTGGTGTTGGAGCAACAACAATCTAGCTGAGAGGAATTACTAAGAGGCAGAAGAAGGATGGGTGAGTGTGAGGATGGGGCAGGAGGAAGGGAAAAGGAAACAGGAAAGATCTAGGAAGCAAAGCTATAAACAGAGATTTAAACATAGGTGTGTACACATGTAAATATATTAATTCATAAAAGTAGAGGTGTTTTCCTATGTACATGTATTTATGTGGCAATACACTGAGGAAGTAGACAGACTTTGGACCTCTTCTCACGCCCTCCCTCAATGCAAGAACACTTTGTTCTAACAACTTGGCATTCTGTGATGCTCACTC